GAAGGCGACCACCGGACGCTCCATCCGCACCTCGACTTGCGGACGGACGCCGACCGACGTGAAGGCCTCGACGGCGGCGGGCAGAAAGTCTTCGTCGGTCCATCGCAGGTCGATCAGGTCCCAGTCACGCGGAGTAGCGAACGCATGTTCGAGCCCGCGTCTCAGCGCCGTTGCTGGGTCGCTACCGAGCGGGGCGAACTCTCCTGCCCAGTCGTTCAGTGGGAACGTCAACAAACGCAGCGGGCCGACCTTGAAGCGCTCTTCGCGGACGCAGAAGGGGACGACCCACGGATCACCCGAGGAACTGACCAGCGCTCGCAGTCGTTGCCAACGAGGGAAGCACGGCCATGAGAGCCGGAGCCAATCGAGCGACTGGAAGAAGTTGGCGGCGGGCGTCACCGCGAGGGCTTGCTCCCACACCCGCCCATAGTGGTCGAGGTCCGCAACATCGTTGACTTCGTTAATATCGACAGTCATGTACTGGACGTTGGCTGAGGCTTTGGAGGACGGAGCCAACGGGCTGGGCAACTCGTGCGCCAGATTGGGCGCGGGGAACCGTAAAGCATGCGGGGGCGCTTGGTTTGGCGGCGCCAAAGTACCGGCGGGCCCTCCGGTATGATGATTTGTTGCAACCGGACCGAGTCGCATGTTGCTTTTCAGCGCCTTCGGTGAAGGTTCCAGCACCAACCCTTGGCGCCGGCTAGCTCGAATGCTTCGGACTTCGGCGACGCGTGATCTTTGATGAGGCGCCGCCGCGAATCGCGCGCTGTCCGTCAGATTTCGTTAGTGCATCCTTGTGGCAAACCACACCATCCTCAGCGTTCGATGCACTGCCGATCGGCAAACAGGCATGCAATCAATGGCAGTGATTTGTACTCGCGCCGCTGGTGCGTCTAGTTCGCGATTGGTTCGGCTAATTGCGGACTCAACCTCTCTCTCGCTCACCGCGCCGCGACACTCTCGCCCGCCGCGCGGATGCAGTAGAGGTGCTTGCTCGAACGCAGGTACATCGCGCCGTCGACGAGGGCGGGCGTCGCGCTGAAGTCGCCGCCGTCGGTGAGCACGTTGGTGGCGACCTCGTTGAACTCGTCGCCGAGCTTCACCACGTGGCCGTCGCCGCCGCGGCCGATCTGGTAGAGGTAGTCGCCGGCGATGACGGGCGACGCATAGGACATGTTGCGGAAGCCCGCGCCGCCACGACCACCTCGGCCGCCGCGCCGACGTTCGCCATCGTTGTTGGCTTCTTCAGCGGGCGGCCCCGCGGGGGCGCCGGGCATGTTGAGGCGGGCTTGGTAAACGCGATCGCCGTTGGCGGCGTCGAAGCAGAGCATGCCGCCGCGGCCGACGCCGTAGAGCCGGCCCTCGTGGTAGATCGGCGACGGGATGCTCCCTTGCAGGTTCTCGCGCCAGACGATGTGCGTGTCGGTGACGTCGCCCTCGCCGCCCGCCTTCACGGCGAGCGATGCGCCGCGGTTGCCGATGAAGTACACTACGCCGTCGTTCGCGACGACGCTCGCCGTGATGCTGTTCGATTCAGAACCCACACAGTGCCACAGCAGCTTGCCGGTGGCCGGGTCGAGCGCGATCAGCTTCTCGGGCGCCGAATAAACCAGCTCCTTGCGGCCATCGACTTCGACAACGATCGGCGTCCCCCAGCAGCCGTTCCAGCCGTCCTCACCGTAACGCCAAAGTTCTTCGCCGGTCTTCTTGTCGAGGCCAATCAGCGCGCTGCTCTCGGCCGTCGCGGCGCAGACAAGCACGTCATCGACCACCACGGGGCTCGCGGCCGAGCCCCAATCGCTCATGCCAAATCCGTCGCCGCAGTCGGTCTGCCACAGCTTCTCGCCGTCGAGGTTGTAAGCGAGCGCGCCGGTGCGGCCGAAGTAGACATAAACGTTCTCGCCATCGCTGGTGGGGGTGTGCGAAGCGTAACCGTGCTGGGCGAACATCCCCTCGTACTTGTCCTCGGGGAGCTTGGCGTCGGCCTCAGCGGTCCATAGTTCTTCGCCGGTTTCGCGGTCGTAGCAGAGGACCATCCGCTTGAGGTTGGCTTGGTCGCCGGGGTCCTCGGTGCTGAGGCCGTAGCCTGTCCAGCAGGTGAGGATCACCTTGCCGCCGACCACGATCGGGCACGATGAGCCGGGGCCGGGGAGGTCGATCTTCCAAGCGACGTTCTTATCGTTGCTCCACTCGATCGGCGGCGCCGCGTCGGCCGAGACGCCCGAACCGTTGGGGCCGCGGAAGCGGAGCCAGTCGCTCGCCATCAGCGGCGAGCAGCAAGCGGCGATGAGAACCAGCGCGACCAAAACAGGCGAGACAAGTCGCGGCATAGCGGGGCCGGGTGCTTGAGGCGGGGGCAATGCG